ATCATTAACTGAATCCACTATGCACTATACTACAACTAGAAGAAAGGAAATTATAGCATGACCTTCATCTATGCCAACTACAAAAAATCAGCATTTTTTGTCTAAAAGCCAATGAGCAAATAAAAATAAACATTTTTATTTCTAATGCAACAATCATGCAAGACTTGTATGTACTAGATGCGAAGAATGCCAAGAACAGTTGTTAATGCCCAATTACTGATTGCAGCAGACGTGCGTAGAGGGATAGAACCTAATTGCTCGTGCATTGACAACACAACTGCTCTTGGCATTCACAACGGGGACGAATAATGCTAACAGCAGTCCCAAGCATCTATTTACAGCCCTATGGTTACTATTCAAATAACAAGGAGCCTACCTCCTTGTGCAGGGGAAACATAGGTCATAGTGCATAGCTGCAGTTGCCCTAAACAGTCTCTGGGCTTCCCATGTATTCATCCAAATCAATTCTAGAAGTACCTTAAATCACAACCTTCCTTTCAACATACATTTAAATACATAAACTTAAGAATGTTTGTACATATTCTCCCATTAGAATCTGATTCATTATTAGAGCATCTCCAATCGTTGTGTAAAATAAATCTAAATTATGATTTAGATCTCCAAAGTAGCCAGAAACCTTTCCAATCCACAGATGCAAAGGGAACACAAATAGTGTTTTCCAGCAAAAAAATGTAAATTTAGATCCATAAGAGGCAACAGGTGGATTTAAATATTTCTATTGGAGCAAAATTTGAATTTAGATCCACAAGATGTAATTGAAAATGCAAAAGTGATTCTGAAGATACCAATTTACACACAATTCTACACCATGATTGGAGATGCTCTAGGAATTTGGGATGTACTAACTGCTAACATGTGTAACACAAGGTCAGAACTCGGATGCTCGCATAAAGGGTGAATCTTGGTAGTGGTGTCGGGCTGCTGGCAATGAGTCTATTCCTTGTTAGGAGAGCATTAACATGTGCCAGGTTCGATCAACACTGTTTTCCTGTTTTGGTATTATTTTGCAATAAGATGATGGTGACCTCACCTCACACTGATATAACATAATGGTCTAATCAGTGAGAGATAAAATTTACTAAGCAACAAAAGTACCAATGCCATACTTTTGCCCACATGAAGCACGGATCTTCCAAAGCTTAATGACGAAGTAACAAAGGGAATAGGCAGTAACAAAGGGAATAGGCCCTGTTTGTGTGTCTTCTGTCAAAAAATAAAATAAAATTGACCGTCCTTTTGGTTAAAGGATTAGAATCTTTTGATGTTCGTGTAAATTCACATTCAGAAATGTAGTGTAGGAGACAGTTCATATCACCTCATCCAAGTAAATCTGCAACTCACTAGTACAACACTACTCACATGCATTAAGAGAGAGACAGCAGGCGACAACTAATCAAATCAAACAGCCCTAATTTATTTACTTCCCCCAAAAGTTAAGGGTTTCGATTCTTCATACTCGTATTATGCGCCGTATGCGTACAGCGCACTATAGCAGCTCTCACAAAGTAACACGGCGAATTCCGAGGACCACAAGTGCGCAGCCTGGTCAACAGCTTACCCCGTCGTAACGTGACACCTTCATCGCATTTGAGACTTTTCCAGTAGCTAAAATGCCAATTTTGAAGACGCTATGCGCGAAAGCAGCCTTTGGCTAAGCAAAAAGGACCTAAAATCAATCGAGACTTTTCCAGTAGTCAAAGATCTACACTACCAGATTACGATTCCCATATTTCACAACGCATGTTAACCTGCGCCTACATCTGATATTAAGAAGCTACTGCTAATACGTGTACGCGTACCTTTCTATAAGTGGTTCCGTCTTCTTCAACGATCCAACCAGCTTCATTACATAGAGCTTTTAGGACCTCGTTGTTATCACAGTGCTTAGGGAGCTTGTAATTTCCGTACATCCGCAGACCAGCAAAGATCTTAGCGCCGATCGCCCTCCGCCGCCTCTCTCTCCGCATGTTGTTCTCCCTTTCCTTCCATGTCGGCAGTCTCGTCCCCGACGTCATTTAAACTACGGCGCTTTGACTCACAGAGGCGGAAGTGAACAATCAGCGAGTCGGACCCGGTTGGAGAGGGAAATGGCCGGCTTGTCCAGACCGGGTTTCTTACGAAGAGAAGTGGTAGAGTTGATATAAACAAAGAAAGAAGAAACTGAGAGCTAGTTATGCTTGAGAGTATATTAATAGTTTGGTCCTGGAGATGGAGGAAATTACGAGAAGACCACTGGGAGTTTAATTTAGAATTATTACAACCCGATTAACAATGTACTCACAGGAAGGGGACTCATGATTTTTTTTATTTAACATGAGACCTCTCCCATGTGTCTAATTGTCAATCGAAGTTGTCAATTTCGATTGTACACATAGCACAACTGTTTAATTTATGTATATCACGTGTCCTGGAGATGGGAAAGTACACTTGATTAGGCTTTTTATAGGAGTGGAGTGGGAGTGTGGGAGTAGGGTGTTTATAATTCGAGAAAAAAAAGTTTGTTTTAATGTGCTGAAAATTTTTGTAGGTTTAGCCATGTTTGATGATATTAAAATCAAATTTTGGTAAAAGTTGATTAGATATATGATTGAGAAGTTATAATTCCATTAAATATTTGGTTAAAATTGATAAAATTTTGATTTTAGTACTCCTCAAACAGAGACTTAGAGGGTGTTTGCATATTTATTGGAAAATAAATTTTAGGATAGTATATTGATGGAGAATGTGTAGATAAAAAATAATGAAACATTTTTTATTTACATGTAAAATTATTTTAATGAAGAATGTGTGGCTATGAACAAGATAGAGGAAAATATATTTTAATTAAAATGATAATCAAACGGGCTTTTAATAGTTTTAGGGATAATTGCAACTGAGATCCCAAACCTTTCAAAAAGTTGCAGACTTTCCCTTAACTTCTCATTTGTTGCAGCCGTCATTTCAAACCTTTCAAAACATTCTGAATGAAGCCTCAATGGATGGATTCCATCCATATTTCTATTAGTGGACCAAAAAATTGGAATTTAACCACATTTTGATCAATTATGAAAGGACAAAACGGTAACTTTATATTTTTCACATTAAAAAGCCTTAAATAAAACAACAACAAAATAAAGAAAGAAGAAGGAAAAAAAATGAGAAGGAAAAAAAATTTCTTCTCCCCCACGCCTCTGAAAGCATCACCAGCAAGCAGAGGCCTCAATCTCTTCACACAATGGTCGACCCCAAGCCCCCATCAAGGGTATTGTATGCGTGGTCCATGGTTACACAGGGAAAGTCCAGTTGGTTCATTCAATTGATTTCGTTCATATCGCCAAGCACGGATTTGCTGTTTATGCTATAGACCATATTGGCCATGGCTATTCCAAGGGCCTAATTGCCCATTTGCCCAATATCAATCTCGTGGTAGATGAATGTATTCTATTTTTCAATAAGTTTCATGTGCGTTATGCCACAAATTTGTCGACGTTTCTGTATGCAGAGTCGTTGGGTAGGGCAATTGCATTACTGATCACGCTTCACCGTGATAGGGATGTGCCAATGAGGCCATTTGACAGCGTCGTATTGAATGGGGCTATGTGTGATATAAGTGATTTAAGTTCAAACCTCCATGGCTGCTTGAGCATTTCCTATCCATAGCTGTTGCTTTGGTTCCTACTTGGTGCGTGGTTCCCACTCATTGGTGGAAAGGAGATAGGTGGTCAATTTTAGACCATGTGGTGGTGATGGTAGATTTCTGATATTGGGTTCAAGAGCGGGGGTGGGGATGAGGGAGAAGAAGATATTTTTCCTTTTCATTTTACTTTTTTCTTCTTTCTTTTTTTGTTGTTTTTTATTTAAGGTTTTTTAATTTGAAAAATATAAAGTTATTCATTTTGTCCTTCTATAATTGATTAAAATGTTATCAAAGTCCAATTTTTTGGTCAAGTAACAGAAATATGGATGAAATCCATTCATTGGGGCTTCATCCATAACGTTTTGAAAGGTTTGAGATGACGGTTGCAACAAATGAAATATTAGAAGAACATCTACAACTTTTGAAAGGTTTGGGGTCTCGGCTACAATTATCCCTAGTTTTATGCGCTTGCATTAAATTAAGCCCCTGTTTTTCTATCATTATTCAATGAAAATGAGTTTCTGAAGATTATGTGATTAAAATTTTTTAAAAAAAATGAATTTATGAACAAAATATCTCTTCATGAAAATGTGTAATTGAAAATGAATTTAAGAGAAAAAGAGTTCCAAACTAATTATAGACAAATAGGGGTTAAGCAATAGAGTGAAAATCAATTTTTTTGTTGTTGTTTAAGAATGCCCAGACCATCCTACTTCGCAGAGTTCAAATAGACTTTTTTTTTTCATAAATGTTACTATCTAAATGGAAAAAATTCTAAAAATTACGGGAAAAAATAATGAAAGCATAATCAATAGGTAAAAAACAGAAATGTGATTTTAACCACTAAAATACAGACACTGAAATGACAATGGCATTGAAACATCACCAACAAAACTTTTATTCCTAACAGCAGCTGAGCTCCCAGCATATACATTAACACGTACCCTGCACCAGCCCACCAAAATGCAACGAGGTATTTTCACATCTCCGAAGAACTTTAGCAAGTGATGTCGCTTAATACAGACACTGAAATGACAATGGCATTGAAACATCACCAACAAAACTTTTATTCCTAACAGCAGCTGAGCTCCCAGCATATACATTAACACGTACCCTGCACCAGCCCACCAAAATGCAACGAGGTATTTTCACATCTCCGAAGAACTTTAGCAAGTGATGTCGCTTTTCAACGAGCTCATTTCGGCCCCGTAAACAAAAAATTTTGAAGCAAACTTGCCAATGCTGGTGCCTTCAACATCCTCTCCGTTGCACCTGCTCCACCACTTCTACATATTTCGAGTAATGCTGCCAAAGCATTCTCTTTACCCTTTGGAGTGTCATGTCGCATCATTTCAATCAAACCCGAAACTGCAATTTCCTCAATCCCAACTACTTCAACTCCAATTGGCTGACGAACAATCAAGGTCAAGGCACCTGCAGCTTCTTCATAGACACCTTCCTTTCCTAATGCCCGACTGGCACGATTATAGCTCCTGGCTCATTCTCACACAATTCTAGGTGTGCATATATAGATTAAATATGGCCGTTACAGCATCCTTTTTCCCTTGAGGGGTTCCCTCCTTTAGCAATGTGGACAAGGCTTCTACTGTCCCATCTTCTCCTACTATTCTTTTCTAATATTCATGAATAGCAGAGAGACTAAATAATGTCACAACAGCATTTTCGCTTGCCTCAATTGTGTATCCAAATCTTAAAACTCTGGCTATCGATCATAAACACCCTTCCATATTCATGATCTGACTTTTATTCTTGTCATAAAAGAAAGGTTAAGTAATGCAGTCACACAACTCTCTTGTGCAAAGGCATCTGGGTGATGTAAGTAGTGTTTCCAAATGGAGTACGGCTCCAACCTTTGCAATACAAGCCCAATTTTCTCTTTCGAGTTTAGACAACAATCTTATCTCCCAGGCATCTGCCCAGTTTTGGGACAAGTACAATGCCCTTCCTCCATGTTAAGAATTTTACACTAATTTCCTTTATTTCGATCTACCTGCAGGATCTTTTATTGTTCAAGATAATATTAACAAATAAAGAAAAAAATATAATGTACAAATTAAACGGACCGTCAAAAATTTTCACTATATGAAAAATTATTACAATTATATAAAATTTCACTCACCAACCCAATCCCCAAGTATTACTAAGAAAAAAGTAAACTCGAGCTCTACCACACCTACTTTTTTACTCTATGTACGAAATGTTTCAAGACGCTAGGCTCACAATATTTTTCTCTCATATCAACTCTCTGATCACACCCAAAATAATGAAATACATCCACTATTTATAAGATCAATAAACAAGTAGAAAATTTTAATTTAAATTCAAACAAGACTCATTTAACTCAACAAGGATTCCTTCGCATGCAGGACTCTAAAATCGGCTGTAAATTGGAGACCAAATTCTGCAAGGATTCTACTCTCAACTTTAATTAAAAGTCTTCTATAAAATAACTACCTTTTATTATTTGCAATAGAAGTCTTCTAACTTTTGACTTTTGAGGCAATTATCCAACAATTTCCACCTTACAAACAAGTCAAAATCTTGTCATTTTTTCTACAACTTTTAATCACAATACTTGGAAAAAACAGGTAAGCCTTTAACACACTTAACAGTCCCATACTCCACTATATGAGTATAACCGCTCAGAATTATCCACGAATTCTAAACATTTCATTGGCTACATGTCGAAACAACCATGCTGATAGTTATTCTACAACTTTCCCACTAACTTTTTCAGAGAGCTCATCAGTCATTGACATCACAATACCACACATACCTACACACCTTGCATCAAATGTTAACCAATGGTATGTGCAGATATGCTGATCTGTGCCAGTAACAACACATCCTTTGTCATGGCAACTGGCGACATGCATAAAGATGTTCCCATCTTACTTTACAACACCACGTCCTCCTTCGCTAGGAGAGTCTCATTGTCTGATTCGAAGCAGTTAGCCGATGCTGCTTCACCTTTTGGACAATTTCTTTTCACGTGGTCAGTCTGATCGCAGTTCTAGCAAATTACTTTCTTCCTCATGGAGTTACCCTTCTTCCTTTTTCAATCACAAGCACCGTATTGTCAGATGGAGTATTCTGTTCCCCTAATCTTCTTTCTTCTGATATCAAGTTGCTTGTCACTTCTGCGAAGCCCACGGTTTCATTTCCACACATCAAAATTGGCTTGATGTGTTCATAGATAGACAGAAGAGACCAGATGAGCCGTAGTGCATTATCATCATCATCTATCTTCACTCAAATAGCCTCTAGTTCTGAAACAATCCCGTTGAGAACACTTGGATGGTCTAAGATTTTCGTACCTTCCTCCATGTGCAATGAATGAAATTGCTCCTTCAGGTACAACCAATTTGAGAGACTTTTCATTTGATATAGTTTTTCTAGCTTCTTCCACAGTTCCTTTACAGCAGATATTCCATAAATATTTGTAAGAACGTTGTAGCTAGACAGAGACATGTCATGCTTACAACTTTCAAATCCAATTTTTCCCAATCCTCATCGCTCATAATGGAT